CAACCATCCATCCAACCAGAGATCCAGCTGCAGTGCTAGGTGGGTATGAAGGTGATGCGTTACTGAACTAAGCATTTCTTTCTATGCTTTGGAACAAGCCAGGTGTGCAGTGGAGTGATGGGTGGTTAAGCTCCGCCCACAAAGCATGCTAGCTGAGGTGAAGCTAGCAGAGCCTCATTGATCCAACATGGCTTAACTTACTGCTCTGTCTGCTTCTCCTCACTCTGTCTGCTTTTATTCTCTGTGCTGTCCTCACTGTCGTCCTGCAGGTTCTGCAGCCTGAACGGGCAGAAGAGCAGAGAGCTGCTGACAAACCCAACATCTGGAATGTCTGGAGTTTAAGGAACAGCTGGGGACTCCAGGAAGGCCGGAGGAATCGGCTCAGAGCTCTGAAACAAACTCAGCTCAGCAGAATCATTCTGGTGGTTCCCAGCAGAGTCCAAACTAAATATAAACTAAATGTTCTGGTTGGAAAACGGGTCGGGTTTCTGTTAGTACACAGTCATGACCTCCCATCAGGGCAGGTTTTATGGGCCCGGTCCGCTCCCTCCTTCGTTCATGTTGGAGGTTAAAGGTCGCAGTTTGTCCCACATTCTCCTCATCCGCCCTTCGCCCATTTTGGGTCCCATTTCCGACCTTATGCTGAGTCCGCATTTCAACGGGCTTTGGTGAACTGCATAAACCACAATTCATTGCTGGAGGTGACGTTTTGAGTTAGAAGGCGGATTTATGGCAATGTTTTTTTTCCATCTTTATAGATAATTTATAGAAAATATCATGACAAGGTACATTAGTAATAAAGTTTGATTTCATAAACTGAGCAGAAAAAAGAAACACAAAAAGAATAATCACAAACTGAGGAAAGCAAAACAAATGTAACAAATCTAAGACAAATTTCAAATCTTAAGATATTAACATGCTGGTATAAAGATGGGGCTTTTGTGATTTTATTTAAGCATTCTCTAAAATAAAATTATTTCACTTTAAAATGGAGGTGATTTTTAGAAAGACCAATGCCTAAACAGAGACCAGTCCGCCATGTTGGATGTGACGTTACGACCCAGGCTGTTCTGACCCTGAACCCTGACCCCTGATGTAACTGACTGAGTGAAGACTTCATAGGGGCGCCGAGCACCGGACCGGGCCTGATGGCAACTAGGGCTGTAGTGATACAATAATCTCACAATACGATGCACCATATTCTGCTTGCGATACGATATATATTGCGATATTCAGCAAACGATACAATTCAATACACTTTTGCAATTTTCTGAAAGATTTTAGAGGGACAGAGTGATTTTGGTGATATTTTGTGACTGTTATAGAGTTGGATTGAATTAATTTAACTGAAAACTGATTAAAAGCACCAACTACACAATACCTGGCTCTGGTTGGACATGGACACAGACTTAAAGTCGACAGCTGGACAAGATAAATCAAAGTGGTGAGAAAACATGTTTCTTTTAATTGAAACAGTACAAACTGTAGTTTGCACTGTTGGTGCAAATAAAGTGCACCAAGTAGCCTGCTCTGAATAGTTTGATACCTTTTTAACCTTGACACTTAACATCTGAAGGAATCACTCTAAGCCTGATGACTGAATCACTCTCCCGGCGAAGCAAGCAGTGAGTGAGCAAGGTGACAGTTGGATGTTACGATACTTGCGGATGAATATCAATTTTTTTCTAGGAAAGAAAATATCGATGTATATCGCAAAATCGATATTATTACACAGCCCTAATGGCGACGCATTGGTTCTACAGGAAACAGATCAATGGAAGGAAACCAGTAGGTCCAGTCTGATTACTGATTCAGCAGACAGAACCGGGTTGGACCTGCTGAGCCTCAAACTGACCCAACCAGGATTAAAGCTCCAGAACTGTCCAGAACCCATCTAGAGCGGGTCAGCAGTGACTCACTCCGGTTCATCCTCGTTCTCCTCCTCCAGGATGTTGGGCAGCCTGCAGACACACAGAGACCCGGGTCAGAACCAGGTTCTGCCTCTGGCCCGGTTTCGGTTCCGCTGCGCCGGACTCACTGGTCGTTGGACTCCGGCAGCGTTTCTATGACGATCTTGGCCGACCGCTCCACTTCCAGCTGCCGGACCGCCTCAGCCGCCGCCTGCCGGGCCATCTCCTCGGCAACGCGGGCCGCCTCCAGCCGCTGCAGCCTGACAGGAGAACCGGTCAGAACCGGGACTGGGACCAGTTCACGGGGCGGTTCTGATCACATCAGGAAACCTCTGAAGATCCAACATCCTGATCTAACTCTGGGTGTTGGTTCTGATGAACCGGTTCCGGCCCAGGTTCGGTTCTGACAGAAATTCTGAACTCGAGTGGAGACGGAGACGGAGTGAGGAAGAGGAGCAGCTGACCTTTCCTCCATCTGAGCGCCGTCGCCTGCTTCCTTCTTCACGCCGTCCATCGGAGTCAGCGGCTCTGCAACGTCCGCCTGCAACCGGCAACCATTTTATTGATCAATCTCATCCCACCTGTCCACCTGGGATCTGACTCCGCTCTCCGTTTACGTCGCTCGCCGCATCGCCATCACAGTTTTTTTCTGTTTTATCACTGTGAAATTGTTGAAATGGAAAAATTTGAACAAACTTCTTCAGTTTGCAAAAAGCGAATAAGTTTCAGACTTTTCTTAAAAAGATTTCAGCGGAGATGAATAAATTGAACAGACGTGATCTCTCCATCCCTGGTGGCTCGGTGCCTTACCAGAGGAACCGCTGGACTCGGTTTCCTGCTTGGTTTCTGGGCCGGCAGGGAGCCTGCCGCCTTCGTCTGGTCGGTTCAAATCACGTTCAGCTTTGCCGGTTTGGTGTAAATCACCAGGCTGATGGAAACACCCAATTCACGCTTTTCTTTTTTGCCACATTTTGAAATTTTGCACAACGGTTGGATGGAAACGTGAGTCACATGCTGAGTTTTCTTTACAAATGTGGGCAAATCTTTTCTACCTGCTGCTAATGTTGGAAACACTATTGAAATGTTCATGTTTCCGTGAAGCGAATTAATTTTCATAACTTGTGAAATGTGTGATTAATGGAAACACGGCGGCAGTCAGTGGGACGGAAAACCCGACTCACCTGCTTCACAGTCGGCGCCTCCTGCTGGGCCTCCAGGTCCTCCAGCACCAAGTCACTCGTCTTCTGAGCGCCGCTGACTGACAGGCAGAAAGAATCCGTCACTATGGATCCCAATGGATTCCAGTGGATCCCTCCCACCTGAGGATCTGCTGTCTGGATGAGGGTGGATCACACACCCAGACTGTGATCCAGAACGTCTGGATCACCTTTTCTGGAAGCGTTAAAATCATCCAGATGATCTGATTGGTCAGGAAGTGTTTGACCGGATCGTCACCAGATCCTCTGATCTGAGGTGATCCCTTCAGATCGTCTTTAGTCTCAATGATCTGAAGGGATCTTCCATGTTCGTATTTCGGGTCGTTTCCACGTGGCTTCATGGAGGATCTGAACTCTCAGGTGTTTTTGACCGTTTGGGTTTGAACTGAACTCGTTCAGACGAACACACAGGGTGTACTTACTTTTTCTCATGGCTGTGAAAATTTTTTTGTTTCAGCTGATCTTAAAGGAAGATTCATGTAATCAGAATTGATTTTTTGGGTTTATGGCCTGGAGGAGTTTCCCATCTGACTGAAGAGGTTCGGCTCAACTGATTGATCGATTGATTAAACTGATCGATTGGTTTGATAATTATTTGGCTGACTGAAAAATTGACCCAAAACAGTCTCTGTTTTCCAGATAAAACCTAGGTGTTTCTAAAATGTCTGAAGTTACAGATTGATTGGTTGGTTCACGGACCGACTGATCTGTGTTGGACCAAAAACACCCGAAGCATTCTAGTTTTTTCCAGATCAAATCTTTATTTTCCTGCATCGCTCGCGGTGAATTTGCTGCTGAAGTGGACAACTGAACATCCAGAGCTCTCAGTGTGAAGCAGCCCCAAACTGGACTGAAACCAGTTCCTCTGCAGAGCCCCTGCTGCCAGTCCTAACCGATCCTCCAGAGGAACATTGGGCTGAACCTCCTGTAAAGTCACGGTCCTGGTTCTGCTTCTGAACACAGACTCCTTCTCTTCAGGCAGGTGAAGCTAAAGCTCGTTAAGCTCGTTAAGTTCCAAAGCAGCGAAAGCTTCCTGTGAGCTACAGGACTGATGGCGTCAGTCTGCCGGCTGTGTGCTGCTGTCAGTGAGAGCGACTCTATCCTGCTGCTGCTCCTTTTATTTTAGGGGCTCAGGCGACTTCCCCCCTGAAACAGAAGGAGAAGAGCAGCGCTGTTAGAGTCCACTTCACCTCTGACAGAAGGACACCAACCAACCAACCAGCTGCTCTGCTCATGAGTTCTAACAGCCTCAGACTGACAGACACCTGTTCAGTTGTTCAAATCAGTCCTTGTGCAGGTGAGCTCCTGCATCAGCACGGAGTGTCACAACCTGACGGTTTCCCTGGAAACACAGGAGTAAGTCTGAGGACGACTGGAGGCTCAGATCGCTGGATCTCATTGAAACCAGAGAAAAAAGTCCAACAGAAAGCAGGTCTGACATAGAGCTGTCACTCTGCTTTCCTGCCTGCAGGCAGAACTCAGGGTTTACGTAACCCATTTCAGCCGGTAGTTTCAGGAAACTGGACCGTATGATCAGAACTAAAGATCCAAACGGCGGGCGGGTGGGGGGGTCAGAGAGTTAAAGGATGTACTTACTGCTCTGCATGTCATCACTTCCTGTTTCCTGCATGAAGGAGACAATTCAGAGCCTTAGTGAAGGTCAGCTGACCCCGGCTGGATGTACGACGAGTTTTAAACAGACGGCTCGCTCACCGGCCGGGGGACGGGCTGCGGCAGCATGCGGCCGATCCCGCTGACGATCCAACCCACCATGCTGCAACGCAACAGTTCAAAGGTCAGCAGGAAGCAGGCGGTTGGATGGGACTCGAAGTCTGAGGTCTGGCTGAGACAGCATCATCCATCCATCCAACCAACCATCCAACTAACCATCCATCCAATCCATCCATCCATCTAACCATCCATCCAATCCATCCATCCATCCAATCATCATCCATCCATCCATCCAACCATCCAACCAACTAACCATCCATCCAATCATCATCCATCCATCCAACTAACCATCCATCCATCCAACCAACCATCCAACTAACCATCCATCCAATCCATCCATCCAATCATCATCCATCCATCCAACTAACCATCCATCCAATCCATCCATCCAACCATCATCCATCCATCCATCCAACAAGCCATCATTCAACCATCCATCCAACCATTCAATCATCATCCATCCAGCCATCCATCCAATTAACCATCCATCCAACCAATCATCATCCATCCATCCATCCAAAGATCTTTAAGTTTAAACAACAAATATTTCCACCTACTTTGGCTGCTGCTCTGCTTCCTTTGCAGGTCTGAATAAATGAAAGAAAAGCAGAAAGTTTGAAATGAAATCCTTCTGTTACTTTATTTTATTACAGACATAAAGTAAACATCTACCAACATTCTGCTTGTCATCAGAAGTTCCTTCAGTTTTCCACAACAAATCATCAGATCCCTACATTTTTTCATGTCCATGCATAATTAAATGTTTATTGCAAATTGTCCACAAAAATAATCAAAAACGTTGAGCTTAAGTGATGCTAACTCCCACCTGCAGGTGGCAGCGTTTCTTACTTCTGCCACTCTGCTGCCTCAGCCTGACTTCATGTCAAGTTATCATCAGTGATCGATGTGGCGAGTCAAGAAAATCGAGTTATTTAAGAACAAATATGTTTGTGTTTCATCTGTTATCGTTTTTCATCTTTTTTCTTGTACAAGTAGATTTTTGGAGGTTTAATGACAAATAAATCTAGCAAAATAACTTGCAAATACCTCAAAAGTAGCACCAGAAAATCAGGGATTTTAATTGCAAAAAAATTTCAAAAGCAACCGTGAAATCCTAGAATATGAGTTATTCCGCTGAAAATACAAATCAAACATCCAGGTGTAAAGCCGACCAACAGGAGTGAAAACAAAAACCCAGACTCACTCTGACTCTGGAGCAGGTCTGGTGGCTGAAGGAGGAACTGCAGGGGGCGCTGTGGCATTCCAAAGGAAGCACAAATATTTCAGTACAGCTCATCTTCCTGTGAGCATCAGCCATCACCACAACCAGCACTAACCTTTGGACGGAGCTTCAGACTTGCTGGTTCCTTCAGTCTTTGGGAGGGTCTCCGGCTGAGGAACCACCTTCACAATGCCGTGTTTGATCCAGTCCATCATGCTGGGAGAAAAACACATCACACATTTACAGGATCAGTAGTTCAGTTCTTCTGACATAAAGATCCACTGCTGTTAAACACTCAGGCAACCGACCAACCAGTGAATCAACCACAGAACAACCATGCAACCAACCACCCAGCAACAAAATCAACTAAGTCAATCAATGAATCAATAAATCAACCAACAAATTTTGAAAAGTAACCAACCAAATAACCAACTAACCAACAAACGACTTAACCAAATATCTAATTACCAAAACCAGTCAAAAACAAAAACACAACCAATCAGCCAAACAGTTGTGATGCTAACTCTGACCTGGGTGGAGCGGTCTGGTCCACCGGCTCCAGTTCCTTCCCGGCACTCTGAGCTTCTGCAGGTCAAACATGGGAACGTGTTGCAACATCAGCTTCCAGCTGCAGGAATACTATGATGTGTTGATGCTCACCTGCTGGAGCTGCTGCTTGCTGCACCTGAGCAGGAGCAAAATCAGGTGAGAAACTCACAAAACCACCAGCAGGTGAAAAGACAGAAATCAGCTGCTGGTTTCCTTCCCTGAAACTCCCTGGTGATTTTAGCAGGACTTCATTTACAAGCTGCTGATAGAAATATTCTGTTTGGTTTCTTTGTCTCAGATTGCTGCAGTGATGACCTGAGGTGTTGGAGTCTCAGTTCTCAGGATTCTCTGACCAGCAAAAAGTTCAACCTCCATGAAATGTACCACAGCTGAGGCTGCTGCAATTGGTAAAGTTACCAGCCAAGAACTAACAGAATTAGTTATTTAGCCTGTCCCGAGATGAAACTATGACTTTTCCAAAGTCATGTTTTCACCATCTTATTCACTCATTTATAAATGTCACAGGTTCAAACTAAATATTTACTCAGCAAGCTAAATGTTTGGCTTCAAGCTAAAGATTTAATAAAATTAAATCTTTACAACAGCAACAGATACTTAGCAAGCTAAATAAGCTAAATACTAGATGCTAACTAAATATTTCTAAATTTTGGTTTTAAATATGTAGGCTCAAACCTAATATTTAGTTTACAGACAAATACTTGTTGAGCAAAATAAATATTTAGTAAGCTACCATAAACCAAATATTCAGTTTACAAACTAAATACTTTTAGCTCCAAATAAAATATTTAGCTTGAGGCTAGCTAATTAAATGTTTAGTTTTAAAATGATATTTATAAATAAATGGACAATGTGCTGAAATGACTGAAACATTAATCTCCATTTTATCCTCTCATAACAGGTTCGATTAAAAAAACTATTTATTGCTGTTAATAAATAATAGTGTGCAACAAAAAAGGCTCCCCAAACTGTCGCCATGTTTCATGTAGTGTCTGGTTCACGGTTTTCGGCACTAAACACGTAATCGATGACATCATCGGTGACGATAGACAGGGAAACCTGGACGTACCTGAAGCTGCTGCTCGGCCGCCTCTCTGCTCCTCAGTTCGGGCTGAGGAACAACTTTCTCCAAACCCTGAGAGATCCAGGCCATCATCCCTTTCCTGCGGAGGAAACGCGGGTCAAGCTGAACGCCAGGGGGCGCCAAAGATCCAGCTAGATCACTATTTGGCATCCTGGCTGCTGACTGCTTTATGAAGCAGCTCACTATCTGGCATCGTGGCAGCTACTGACTGTAAAAGCAGCTCAGTATTTGGCAGGTTACTCACTCATCGTCGGGCTTGCTGAGAGACGGAACAGAAAACGTCATCACGTCGGCTTCTTCTATCTTTAATTCACTTCCTGTTTCTAGCTGATTCAGAACATGTGGAGCCTAACAGCCAAACTCCCTCTGCTTTATTCTGGTTCTGTGACCCAAAACCCAACATAGAAATGTTCAGATTTACACTCGGGTGTGTTTACCTGGCTGCTGCTTCCTCCTGAGGCCAGACAAGAGAGAGAGGAAACAGGAACATCAGGTGACGTTCTGGATCAAAACACCGCTGTTCTTCAGAGATTACAGAACCCGATCCAGTAAGCATTTCCTCCAGATCCTAGCTCCGAGTTTTATTCATAATCTGATTCTCGGTTCAGCAGAACCTGAACCTGGGTCAATGTTTTCTGCAGAACCGGACACAGGTCCAGCGTCTGGTCCTCACCTTGGCAGTGGAGTTGGCCTGGTTCTGGTTAGCCAGTGGCGCCGGTAGAGGGAGAGCGCTGCTGATCCAGGTCAGCATGCCTGGAGCCGGACTGAAGACGGGAAACACCAGAATCAGAAAATAAGACAATAAACCACTTCATGTCTTCAGTTATTCTTCCCCAGATGGGTCCCTCTGAGGGGAAACGGACCCGTCCGGACTCACCCGTTCCCTGCAGACGACTCGACTTCCTGATTCAGTTTGTCAGCTTTTGCAGCTGTTGATCAAACAGAAAGAAAGTTCAGTGGAAAGAAGAAAATTGAGTCAGTTTCCATGATGCACCAGGGATCTTACCGTCCTTCTTGCACTCATCTTCAAACGTCACCTTCTTCTCCTGTTCAAAACACAAAAACAAGTTTTAAAAGGGAAGCTATGCTCCTCCTCCTGCACAATGTCCGAGTTCAAAACTCTGGAAACCCAGCGAGTCTCCGGGTTGGAAGAGACAACAAGTCTGGAAAACTACAAACTACTGATCCCTAGTCATTACTAAAATGCTTCAAACGTTCTGGACATATAGTTTAATGATTATCATCACTAAATGCTTCATAAATGTGAAACAAAACCTAAAAGATTCCAGGGTATGGAGAGAAACGTGTGACCACTGGGGGCGTGGCTTACTGGTTCAGGGGGCGGGGCCGCAGCAGGGGGCGGAGCCGCTTCTGGTTTTCCTTCCTTGGCATCTTCAGTGTTTTTGGATGGAAGTTCAGGCGGCTGGGGGACGACTTTAACCACCCAGCTTAACATCCTGGAAGATACAAACAGCCGTCAACCGACTGATACGAGTCGGTAGCTGGTCATTGGAAGACTTGGTGACTTGTTCATCAACAAACGGTGAGCAACAAGCCACAGGCGAAAGCCTTGGGGTGAAACCCAGGAAACGATAGAGATCGTTTATGTTGCTCCGCTAACGCCCATGGGCACGTCTGAATGATTAGCTTGAAATTTCACATGCATGAATTTGTCCGGTCACTTGGGTGTCGCCTGAACAGGCAAGACTCCCCGTAAATGAATGGAGAGGGAGCAACGTTGCCTCCTGTGTGGAGCTATCAACTCTGGACCAAAGGTAATGTTCACCCGTATGGGTCTCAAACTGTGGCTGTTAAAAGACCTGGTGTCCCGTACAGGTCTCAGTCTCTGGACTAAAGGTAAGGTCGACCCATATGGCTCTCTAAATGTTGGTTCTTGTGGAGCAGGTGTCTTGAATACCACTCTAGCTCTGGTTTTCATGGGACCCGGTGCCCTGTATAGGTCCCAGTCTCTGGTCCTCAGGAGTCTTAGTCTTGCACGTTTTAGACATTCGCCTGAAGGGAATGTTAGTTCTGTTGTTGGTTCTGATGGGGACCGTGGTGTGAGTCCTGTTGGGATCCAGTTCAGGGAGCAACTCGGCTGGAAGTGAGTCCAGGTCTGGAAACAGATGGAAACTGAATAATTAGCCTGATCTCCTCCAGGCTTCCCTGTTCTGTGCTTAATGGTGTTTGGATCTCGTTCAGCTGAGTGTCAGACCCAATCAGAACTGACTGGTCTCGACCCTAATCCTCCCCAGGAGGCCACTGGACATCAATACAAACATTTAAACTGGTGCCCAGTTTGTCACTTTCACTCCCCAGTGTGTGTTATCCGTTTAGCCGGCCGTGAAGTTGGCCGGCTTGTCTCTCGCCGAGTCTTTCTGTTCAATGGGTCATTGTGGGTCGACATACAACCTGTGACTCGGTCCGGTTCTGAGCTGGTCCAGAACTGAACAGGACAGTCAGTGAGGTGAGTTAGCCAGAGAGAAGTGGTCAGTCACAGTTTACCCGCTCAGTCAGTAGGTTGGTCAACAAACGGCTGATTAATCTGCTCCAAGCGAGTTCTGTATAAGAGGCTTGTGACTCGGTCCACGGTTCAAAATGAAACTAAAGAGCCAGGAGGTGAAAGGTTGGGAAAAGAGCGTTTCCAGCAGTGGTTCCCACCCTGGTCCTCTGGGAACCCATCATGTTGATCACCCATTAATTTAGTCCAGGTGTGTGGCAGCCAGGAGACACCCAAGACATGCAGGACAGTTGGTCCTGAGGATCAGGGCTGGGAACCACTGCTTCAGAGGAGAAGGTCTGGTCTTCTGAGGGTTTTCAGGGGTAGATCAGAGGGTTGGAGAGGAGGACGTTTGGCCTTTGGGGTCTAGAGGAGTAGGTCCGATGGTTGGGATGGACTTTGGGGTGGGTAAGAGTAGGTCTGGCAGTTGGGAATGCTCAGATATGTAGGTTTAGTAGTTGGGTGAGGTCTAGAGGAGGAGGAAGTTCAGTGGTTGGGTTGGTGTTTGGGGTGCAGGTCAGATCTTTAGGGTATCCTGTCCTACCTGAACAGTTCAGTTGGGTCCCAGCAGCATCCCACAGAGCCGCGGTGAGGAAAGACTAACAGGAATGTGAGTGCAGTGGGAGGATTACAGAGCTAACAGGATTACAGAGCAGCTGAAGGACAGAACCGGACAGAGCAGGGGCTCAGATTACACCTTAAGAGGCCAGGAACAGGACACAATGCCCAGAGCTGGAGCCCTGTCCAGAGAACAACACAGTTCAGTTCAAAACAGACAGATGTCAAATCAGTTTGCTAACCGTCATTAAAGATATTCAAAAACTTTAAAGACTATAAAGTCACAAAGGTTTCTAACCCAGTTTCTAAAGTCTGAGTGAATCTGGAGAAGCAGGAGATTCTATCACTGATACATCACTGTTCTTCAGGGCTGAAGCTGGAAAACTACCATCATCTCATCAGTGTAATAACTAAACGGACTTTAGATTCAGACAATGCAATGAAGGTCTGGACCTGCTGGTTCTCAGGCCAGAACCTGGCCTCGGTTCTCAGAAACAAGGTTGGACTCTTGTAGTTTGTTCATGATGAATCTTCTTCGCCCTCCAGGGCTATCAGTGGCGTACCACAGGGCTGTGTGCTCAGACCAGTTCTCTAGTCTGCTTCCATTGGTAAAATGACCAGGCAGGATGGGATAAACGTTCAGTGTTATGCTGATGATATTCAACTGCATCTATTTATAAACCTGATGAATCTAATCCACCAGGTAGAACCTGAATGACTCCAAACATTCTGCTTTTAAATTCTGATTAAATAGAAGTTGCTGCTTTTGGACCAGGAGCCTCATGTATCAAACACTGCCCAGTTTTCACACTAGAACTAAAACGGACAAATTTAGAAAAGTGCGGCGCACAAAACGCCTGCTGACCTTTCCTTTATAGATCCTGGTTTGTGGGAAACAGAGCAGCTGCTGCTCCGCCTGTCGCCTCCATAAATACATCTTCATGTAAATTAAATACCTGGAAGTCTGCCGCCACGTGAAGCAGTAACCATGGCAACGGCCTTGTTTGTAGCACAATAGTATTTATAATAGTTATTATACATTTTATTTAAAAGGTGCTTTCACTTGACAAAACTAAAACAAAGAAACCCTCCAAAGTAAAGAGTAAAGCTGTCCGGGTCGGACCTGCTGCAGCGGCAGAGCCTCCGGGTCGGACCTGCTGCAGCGGCAGAGCCTCCGGGTCGGACCTGCCGCTGCGGCAGAGCCTCCGGGTCGGACCTGCCGCTGCGGCAGAGCCTCCAGCCGGTCTACAGACCAGAGAGGCTCTGAATGTGGACGTTTGCTCTGCAGACAGGAATCAGCAGCAGGAGCTGCATTCACAGAGTAGAGATGCTTTCTGTCCATAAGGCACTTTCACAAGGCGGGCGGCTCCACTGGAGGACGGCTGCAGCTGGACCGGTACCGGTACCGCTGGTACCGCTCTAAGTTCTGCTCAGAGCTCCGGGATGAATCTAAACGCTGATCGACCATCAGATGGATCTGATCTGTGATCAATCCTCCATCAGAGCCAAAGCTCCTCAGGTAGCGGCTCACCTGGATCAGCTGCTGATGGACCTGATCAGAACCGAACCTGGTGGATCCATCTGCTGATCAGCCTGTTTTCTCTCCAGTCAGAATGAAATGAGCCTCAGATGCTTTCAGACGATGAGTTACATCTTCATGAGACAAACTGAGGAAGTTATTATTTACGTCAGAGTGAAGTTTTACCTTCCTTTAGTTTATTTTCTTTATTGTGTGAGTGTTAGCTTACTGTCTGAGGATAAATGTGGTTCAGTTTCATCGTTTAAACACTAAAATATTAAAATCATGAAAACCATCTGGTTTGATGCTTCCTGGTCTAAATAACTGAATGTCTCAGGTTTCAGTGGTTTGTAGTTTATTGTCCACAGATAAAGTTTGTGTGGCTGCCGCACATTTTCACGGCAGGTCAAAGGTTTGCCTTTATTCACGTTTTCATGCCTCGTTCATTTTATACATGCCGACTTGTGTGTAAAATATGGCGCCGCAGTTTTTGTGCGTATGCTGCTTTATGCATGAGGCCTGAACTTGTGAAAAAGATCCTGCTGAATCTGATCTGTTGGCATTAAATTATCGTTAAATCAGAAAGTGAAGAACCTCCAGGATGTCATTTAAATCCCAGATTCATAAAGTTTCTGGGGTTTTCTTTTTCACCCTGGGAATATTAACTCTCTAACTGATCCACGAATCTCTTCAGGTTGGAACTCGTTTTGTTTCCTCATCCTGCCTCCTGTTTGCAGCTCTGAGCTGCAGGATATCAGTGTCTCCACGCTAAAGCTGTTAATGTCGCCCTGACCAGGATTAGCTGCTAACCAGGCTAAGCCCAGCGTCAGCAGAACGTGGGATTGGAGCCTCCTGACCCCGATCAGCACCATGCAGCTGCTGCAGGACTCCATGCCCCCTGCTGAGCATGCAGGCCGCTGCTGTAGGGTCAGAGGTCAGAGGGCGGCACGAGCTGCTGCCGCCCTCTGCTGGACAAAACTGTAACAGGATGAACTAAAAGCTGACTTCTCAGATTGAGCTCCGCCCCAGAGCAGGAAGCAGCTCCAGTCCAAACATTTTGGCACAAGCGCATCAAGCTGAATATCTAACAAAGATAAAGTTCTCAGATTTATTGGAAAATGATTATAGATTCCAAACAAACATGGATTTGCAGCTTTGCTTCATTAACAGAAATGTTAATACTTTTTAAGGCATTGATTGGAAAAAAAATGAACAAAATGCAGTTAATTTTGAGGAAGAAAACCAGGATTTAGTTCAACTGTTTGAAAACGTTTTTTGTCTTTAACAAAGTTTAATAAATTTAATTAGAAACAGGTTTGGGAGCAAAAACATCTCTGGATAGAAGTGAGGAACCAGGACTGGACCGGTTCTGCTCCGCTGCCCATTTGGCAGCTCTACCTGGATGTGTTACCATGGAAACGGGCCACAACAGGCGCTGCTGCTGACTGACGGAGGGGATGTTTGAACATACAAACCTCCTGAACTTTGCTCCTTCAGTCGCCAGTCTGCGTCAATGACATCACTTCCTGCTGTGACTCACCTGAGGCTGTGCAGCCAGGTGAGGGTGATCACCTGACAGGGTCACCATGGAGACCAGAGGACAGGTCCATCAGGAATCTGATGGAAACTCAGAATCGGTTAAACCTTCAGGTGTTTTCCTGCAGCGCTGATCAAACGTCCAATCAAACTCCACAGAAACTTCCACACTGCAGGAAACCCACTCCCTCTCCCACTGCAGCTGTAGCAGTCAGTGTTTTCCTGGAGAGGGAAAAGTCTTAGATCCTTCAGAGTCGTGGCGTCTGAACGCTGAGACATGCAGAGAACAGATTCAGGCTGTGTGTGTGTGTGTGTGTGTGTTGTAATATTAAATCTCTATTTCAAACCAAACAAGCAAAGAAAAGAACAAATGTTGACTTTTCCTGTTTTTACCCAGATTTACAGATTAGATCCTACAGGAAGTTTTGATGGGCTGCACCAGAAGTAAAACGTCTTCAAATGTTTGGTTTTGATCATTGCAACATCTAGAACATTTACATTTTTAAAATTTATAACAGTCATACAATAGGCTGAATACACTCCATTTGTCACTACATCTTAATAAACTCCAAGTTCTCATTCAACTCGTCTACCTGGTTCAACTCTTCCATGTTTTTCTGTCTGGGTCTTCCAGGGTTGGAACCGGCCAATCAGAGGAGAGACTCCCAGATACCTTCAGCCAATCAGGAGCCAGCGCAGAACCTCAGAGAGGAATTCCTGTTGATGCTGATGTGGAAAAGTCTGCTCACTGAGTCATGCAGCCTGAGAGAGTTAGTGTGTGTGTGACTGTGTATGTAGGTGTGTGTGTGTGTGACTGTGTGTGTAGGTGTGTGTGTGCGTCAGCTGGTGTATAAACACCACACCCTGTCCAGTCCTGGATCATAACGGAGCTGCTGCGTCTCTGAAGGTAAGAACTCGTCTCTCCACGTCGTTTCAGGTTTTAGTTTTCGGTTCTTCGGTCTGAGGGAACCAGACTCTCCTTCTGAAACTCACAGCTGCAGAGAGAAGTTGCTTTGTGAACTTGTTGACTTAACTCTGAAAATCTAAGCTTCTGCTGAAAACCTTCAAAATAAGAGCACAAGCCATCTCTTCTCACCAACATGAAGGACCTAATCTGAAGCCAAATGAATCCGTCTCTCCACTATTACTGCTCACAGTAGGAATGTCCTCAGGCATCGGAGGCTGGCAGAGCGGAGACTCCTGAGGTGTGCACCTCCAGCCCGTGAACTCTGACCTCATCAGACGTCCAGGTAAAGACAGAAGTTAAAAATGTGGACTGGCCCTTTAACAGCTTGGTTACTAAGTGATGAAGTTTGTAGTTACCTGGTCAAAGGTGGATGAAGCTCTTCTAATGCCGACTAACGAGGCTTCAGTGCTCTCACATCGCCGAGCGACCCTGCAGTTACGCAACCAGCCGCGCATTCCTGCAGCTCTGAGTGCATCTCCTTATCTGCAGACGCACCTTCAGGAAGGCCCGGCCCGGTCAATAAATCAAACACACCTCGCTAGTTCAGGGTTCACCGGCCGGACTCTGGAACCGACTGTTCTCCTGTCTGATTAATCTGATTCCTCTGGAAGATCACGATGACCCGAACTCTTCCTCCTGCTCATTACCACCTTCATCTCTTGCTTTAATTTAAAAAATAACATGGAAAATGTGCAAAAATATGTAAATGACATGGAGGGGGGAAAAAGATCAAGAATAGTAAGTCCAAACATCTGACCAACTTCAGGGAACCGAAGCCAGAGTTAGCAGTGAGCAGACGGAGTCTGGGCCGAACCGAAAAACAGACGAAGAAGGTTCTGAAGCTTCACTGCTGCCAAGAGCTGCAGAGGAAACGGCTAACGCAGCCGGAGGAGTCCGATTCCAACATGGCGACACCCGCAGCACCGCTAACGAACGTCGCTATAAGCTAACATGACTTTTAATCTGTTCACATGATAAACATGTTTCCACCGCAGCTTCCTGCTGCTGCTGAGCGGCCACATTGAATCATGAAGTTATGAAAAATCGGAACTGGAGGTGGTCTGACTTGCTCAACGCTTTCCAGGAAAATCCGACTTCAGAAACTATTCCAGCTGATTTTTCCGACTAGGAAGTCAGAATTTCCCAGTTGATGCTACGCAGCTAAAGCTGGAAAACATCCAAAGATCAGGGAAATATGAACAGAACATCAAGTAGCTACAGTGGAAACCGGTCCAAAAGACAGAACCAGAACATCTGGTGGAAGGAAAGTAAATGAAGATCAGAAAGTAGAAAACTGAACATAAAATGAACTAAACCTGGACAAAGATCTGACAGTCAGAAAACAGGAAGTAAAGACAAGAAATATGAGGCTTACCAAAATAAAACAGGAAACTAAAAGCTATGACTCAAAGTTTGAGATTTTGCTAAATAACAGAAGTCCAACATGTGAGGACACCGTGTCTCTGGGTCAGGAACCGCTGGGTTCTAACAGGAAGTTCTTCTGCTAACAGGAAGTTCTTCTGCTAACAGGAAGTACCTGTTGTGTCCTGCAGGTGGATCCATCATGGCGCTGGTGTCGGAGTTCCTGGGTCAGCTGACGTTGTCTTATGGGGGGGTGAGTCTCATGGTCCACTGAGCTCCAGCAGGGGGCGCTCTACTCTATCACACCACAATTATTAATCATTGGTGACACATTTCTGTTTATCAGCCTCTTTAACAATGAACTCTGATTTTATCATTTATAAAAAATGAAACTTAAAATGCGAGGAAACTGTTTTAAATGAGGCAAAAAGGTGCAGAGAAGAAAATTTTGTCATGTGTGTTTATGGTGAGAGAGACGGAGTTTAAAAATGCCTTTATTTCACACTCCTCATGTCAAACAAAACATTAATTCTAACTCAGAAAGGAAAAACTAAAGATGCCTCATCTAACGAACACAAAACATCATTAATACCTCACTTCCTTACAAAGACATCAATATTCTTTAACTTAAAAAACTCAAACTCCACACGAATTTAAGCAATTATCAATGTCCCAAATAAACCAGCATCATCTGTTTGATGACCGTTCTTTTTGTTTCTCCTCGACAACCATATTGCCAGTTTTGCAGTCCCAGAAA